GGCTAAGCTCAGCGCAACTCTGACAGATGATGCCTGAGAGGAATGGAAATAGATTCACCACCCTCTAAGAACTTAAGCAAACTGTTTTAAATAATAGGTCTCAAAGAAGCAGAGGATAAATTCTCCCCAAAAGGCTCTGAACATCCAGCTTCCACCAGCAGTCCCGTCAGGTCCTGGACACGGGCGCCTCTTTTTGGTTTGAATGTGATGCTCCGGTTTTCACTGTTTCCTTCCAGCTCTGCCAAGGCTGACAGCATACTGCAAGAACTGCCTCTCTGCTCCCTACTCATGCCCTCAGGCACGTTCATAGCCCCTGACTCCCCTTCCACTGGTCCTCAGAGACGCTTAATGGCCTCCCTGCTCTAATGGCTCCCCTGGAGGAAATTCAAGTGAGAGCCTGGGAGGGCAAATCAGGGACCCAGCCACCTGTCCAAGGAGCTAGTGCCATGTGTCTCTACAACTGGTGGGGGAAACTGAGGTACAGTTTCTCTCCTCCATGAGGGGAATTTCCTCCGGGGAACGTATACTGGGAATGAGGGTAGGGGAGCATCTGACTGCCAGGATGTGATGTTGGGAACGTTATGTGTCTCCCAGTGGCCACTGTTCTCAAAAGTCATCTCTGGTGATGTGCACAGGGGAGGATGCAGGGGTCATCAATGTCCACCGCACACTCCTGTACCTTATAACCAGGGCTTCTGCTGAGAACTGGAAGGAGGTCTGGAATTCCTGCCCTCACCTATGCAGATTCTCCAAATTAGAGGGCAAGAGTGCACTGCCAGAATACTGACGCTGGGGACCTGGGAATCAGTTAAAGGCAGATGGAAGAAGCTGAAGTGTAAAGAGAGAGATATGGTATGGGGGTTGGGGGGGTGGTTGCCTGGGGCAGGGGGAGTTGCGATCCACAAATACAACACCAGGGCCAGAAAGCAGTCTATCACATACATTCCTTCTCCGACTATAAACTTGCTCACTCCTATCAAACCTGTTCTCCAACTTTATTTACATCTTCTCTCCTCAGTGGCCTCAAGTTGCCTGCCTTTCTCCCAGTCCTCATGATTTAACTAGTCTTTCTAATCAAAAGAAGAGGCTGCCTGAGAGACTGTAATTTAAGGAGCCATGGATAGGACTGAGTGTTATTAATTATTAATATCCAAATACCCTGTACTTAATATGTAAATGTTCCAAAGAGAACATTCAGAGTCCAGTAGAGTTTCAAACCTTGCATAAAATAGTCAAACTAAGCACCACAAGAAGAAAAAAATGTGTGCCTATGTGTGGTGATGATGTTAACTAGACTTATTGCAGTGATCACTTTACTTTATATACAAATATCGAATAATTATGTTGTACACCTGAAACTGATACAATTTATATGTCAATTATAACTCAATTTAAAAAAAGTCAAACTAAGAACTCATACCTTTTAACCTAGAAATTTTATTTCTGGACTCTATCCTAAGGAACTAATTTCTAAAATATAGAGAAGAGCTTATGAATAAAGATGTTCATCACAGTGTTATTTATTATCATCAATAATATAGCAACAATGAGGAATGATTAGGAAATTATGGCACATCTACCTAACGGAAAAATTATGTAGGCATTTTAAATGTTCACTAAGTGTAATTAAGTGAAAATTAATGTTATAAAATTTAAAGTAAAAATATATAAAATGTCAAATACATAGCATGACTGAAACTATGCACAGAAAAAAGAGAGGAAGGAAACACATCAAAATATATTAACAATGGTTGTCTTTAGTTAGTAAGATTATGGGTTTTTTTCCTTTTTATATTCTCACAGTTTCCAAATTATTCATAATTCTAATGGAGGCAGAAAGCTTTAAAAAGGTAAACTACCTTGGAAACGGAAAAATTTTACTTGCATAGAAAACTTTTTGTGGGTTTAGTTGACAACCAATCCTTTTAATATCAGTATCCAGGAAATATACTATTTTCTGGAAGGGCACTTGGAGCAAGGAATATGGACAATGTGAGCAAAACGAGCCAAAGAGAAACCTGGCCGGCTTGAAACCTGCACTAGCTCCCTATGATTACCAGGTAAGAAACAGCTTTCACTGCCTGATCATCAAAGTTCTTCATAATTTGTCACCATGTATCCAAACACCATACGAGCACTTCTCAGCTGAACCTCTCTGTCTGGCTTTCTCTTTGCCTGGTGAAATGTTTCCATTGCTCAGACAGTGACTTAATTCACTTCCATCCATGAAGACTTTCCTGATCCTCTGATGTCCCAGCCTCTACTATTTATCCTTCTTCTTAAGGTGCTGATATAGCACTTAAATCTATACCTTTTTCTGGTATTAAGCCAATTCTAGTTACTTTGTTAATTACTCATGTGTAAGTAAATATCTCCCCAGCTTGACTTTAAGTTCCTTGAAATCAAGAATTTAGATGATCTGGGGACAGCAGTCATTTGACAAATACATACGTACACAGAGAGAGAGAAAGAGAAAATGTAGTTCTAAAGCCAGGTTGGTATTACATTCATACTCTCAGTGATGATATCTAAATAAAATGTGCTGCCTCTGTTTTAAAATGTTCCTGCTGACCTTACATCACTAGGACGTGCTCTTTTTTTTTTTTTTTAACAGCACTGTTATTGTATTTTTGCTTATAAATTCATACCAATTCTGCTGTCTCCCTTGGGATTAAACAGATTGAACTGCAAGATGCCTCACCAAGGTGTGGGATACAGTGTACAGCCATAGAAAGAACAAAAAGAACAACAATAAAAAAAAAGAACAAAAATAAATGACCTCCTAGGAATCAAACTTAAGACTCATCACAAGACCCTACTTCTCTTATAGTCTTGTCTGAACATCAGATGTAAATTTGGGTCTCCATTTTACGGCCTTATTTAGACAATGGACTTTAGTCTATCACTATCTCCATTAACTTCAGAAAGAATTCTCCAATGCAAATGGTTCAATACTTTGGAAATGATGGACTAAGATGACTATGTATGTTCCTGTCTGTCATCAAGTACTATTCCAGTACTCAGAGATAATGAGCATTTGTACTATAGCAACCTGCCTCCTGAGACATCAACCAGAGCTGCCTATCTTAAGATAAAATACATAAATCATAAATGAAAGCAAAGCAAATGACCAAGCAAGAGACAAAGAAAAACCTATCATCCATTTCTGTTGCAGGAGTGCACAAGGTCAATATAACTGTTGGTTCTGAAGGGCAGAGCAAAAACAAATCAATTCCGTTTCCCACTATACACAGCTACATTTTGCTACAACACACACATTTTTTCTAAGAGTCAATGCTTGTCCAGATTCCACCACTTACTAGTTCTCTGTATTTCAGTTCCTTAGTCTGTAAAATGAAGTTATCACCTGCTATGCCAAATCACAGAGTTGTAATGAACCAAATAACATTATCAATCTGGGCTTATCTGTCATCCTATCCTGGGATGACACAGCCCACAAAAACAGTTCAGTCACACACCCTACGAACTAGGTAACTGTACTTACTGAAAATGTTTCCCTAAAGTACAAAAAAAAGAAAAAGGTTTCCAGATTTTTTTTTTACTTTCCTAACTGACTTCTCCAACACTTGAGTATCCACCATATATCACCACCAAAAATGTGTTGAACATCTTTTGTTATGAGCTAGCTCTCCTATGCAGAATTGTCCAGATATTTTTTGGCATATGCTTTCTAAGAAAATAGGGTTTGTTTTTTTCATGATTCAAAGGATGCTTTTACTTTTATTCTAAAATGACAATAATTCCATACACAGGAAGTTTACAGGTTGTTGCTGCTGTTTGAGATTACTCCTAGAAAAGTTCATTCTATGTTCAATATCTAATAGACCCAGATATATGTGGACACTGGACACACTACTCAACACAGTGGAAGGTCCGTGGGCTTGGTGTCAGAAGACGCATATTCAGATTCCTGTTCTGTGACCTCGAGCACGTAAATTTAACTTCCCTGCTCCTCACTTTCCACATGCTTCTGGGTTTTTGAGATGATTTAAAGAAATAATATATTAAAAAGTAAGCGCCTAGACTCTGAGAGTATTATTTCCCACCTCCCTTAAATCTTTTCCTCCTTTGCCAGAACCAGTCAAACCCATCCTGAATACACAACTTGGATACAGCATCGTTCTCACACATTAGCAGGGGAACGCCAGGCGATGCAAAATTGGGTGGATGATGACCTGAATTAGGCAACCAGTGCAGCAAGAGGTAGAGTGAGCGATATCGACAAGGGCCCTAGTAGACTTCACTCGCATGTGCGAAAAAGATACTAATCTGACACACTTTGAAGATTGCACTGCACACTCACGGAGGTTTGTACCAGGATGTGGGGAAAGCACGGAACTACAAACCAGCCAGCAGGGAGCCTCCTTGTTCGTCCCGCCCGACCCCGCCCGCCCGGGTCGTCCATCTGGAGCCTAGAAACGGAGGTGAGAGCACAGCAACTGACCTCGGCCCCTCACCCTCCCCCATTCTGCCCAAACCTCTCGGGGCACGAATGGTGCTGAATCATTAGCACGAACACCAGCAGCTCCCGGTTCTGCTGTTCCCGCGGGGGACTATGTCGCCAAAGCACTGACCGTCCCGGCTGGGGGCCGAGACGTCGGGGGCGTAGGGACGCGAAAAGGGGTCGAGGAGGATCAGGGCAGCAGGTACTCACCGGGTGAGGAAAGCCCACCCGAGTCCTCGCCTCCCCGCCGCGGGCGGTCCCCCTGCGGCTCCGAGCTCCCCGCTTTCCCCCGGGCGGCGGTCCCCAGGCTCGGCCGCCCGTGCCGAGGTCCGGAGTTCCCCTGCCCACCCACCGCCCGCGGCCGCCACGGCTCGGGGCTCGGGCGCACGACCGGGAGCAGCTGGAGCAGCTGTCGCTGCCGAAGGGGCGGCGGCTACAGACGGGCCAGACCATTCGCGGGCTGCAGCCGGGGGTGCGCGGGGTGCGGCGCGGAGCGGGCGCCCAGGGCGCGGAGGGCGGCCGATGGTTGGGAGGAACCAAGGACGAGAGGAATCCTCTGCCCACCCTGCGCCTGGAGGGCTTGGGGACAGGAGGGATTAACAGAGGAGCGGCAGCTTTTCCTGGCTGTTGACTGAAGACAGTCCTTTGGCTTTTCCGGGCACCCCCTCCTGGTTTGCCTTGGTCCCGCTCGGGGCTCCTTTAGAACGCGGCAAACAGAGGACCTAGCAACGGGAGCGCTGGGCGGGGTCCCCTCTTAAGGAGATGCGAAAGGGCGCCGGCCTGAGCCCCGCCTGCGTGCACGCCTTCTCCCCTGCGAGGCCCGTAGCACCAGTTTCTGGTGCATCCCTTACCACAGACATCACACCACAAGACCGAGGGGGGCATCCTGAGTCACCGAAGGAGCTCCTCACATCCTTTATCGAAGCATCTTTGTGGAGCAATGAGTAAAAGGGTATCCAAGCCCAGCTTGAAAGTTAGAAAATAAAATCAAGAGGGGTCCCATCCTGTAGGTGCTTTGTGGATAAGGGGAAGTGAGGGACAGTTTTGAATCATAGTTATTGCTCTGCAAATGCTGAACTACAGCAGTTGGAAAATGTGGGTTTCGGAAACCGTTTTAACATAGAGAATATGAGAGATTATTAGAGGAATTTAAATATACTCGAGGGTCATTGTTCACCAGTTTCTTATTGTTTTGGGAATGGGGAGGGAATCCTGTCCTCCGCATATGAAAGGAACTTTACAGAACTGGTAAGGGAAGTCCCTACCTCTGACATCCCTTGGACTTTGTGAAAGCACTTTTGTGGTTGCTGCCCCTGTCACAACCAGGCTTGCACAGGTTCATTTCAGACTATGGTGGAGATGGAGACAAGCGTATAGTTTTCCTTATACAAAGATAAAAAAGACAGAAGAGAGTTGGCAACTAACTATAAAATATAATTAAGGGAAGCAGAAAAAAAACAGACCCTCCAGATGCCTCCCAAACAATATGAAATTCCACAGCTAAAAGCCATTTTCTCTGGATTTTTGTCCTCTTTTGAGTAAACTAACATAAATTGAGCACCTACTGTGGAGCAAACACTGTGCTGAGAGTATTTCTTGTTTCATTCCTTCATTTATTCTTCTAAAACCTCCTGTGAAAATTGGTAATGCTGTGGCTATTTCTTAAATAGAGAAACTGGGCTGCAAGAGTTAGTTGTGCTGGGTTAACATCTCAGATGTTATGGGTGGCAGAGCAGGCATTGCAACCTGGGGCTTTGACTAGTGCCTTTCCACTAGAATGCCAGTGGGAAACAGACGCCAACCTGTATCACATCCACAATTGGCACTTGAATGTGAGGTTGTCCTTCTTTTGTGAAGTCTGGGTTTCATGATGGAGAAAGGGACACATGGGGATCTAAGGTGGACGTCTCCCTGAGGTGGGAATAGGGATCAGAAGGAAGAGGCTGGATTTCACCCAGAACTAGCCTGGAAAACATCAGTGTCAGAAATGCGCTGTTAGGGTCACGTGAGGGTGAGGAGAAATTCCCCCTTACCTTTTTGTTAGTCATTTTACACTATGTTACACCTTACCTACATTTAAACTATTATTACTTTACAGGATCATTATGCTTTACAAGATCATTCTTCCAATCACAGGAAGGAGCAAGAGTTTTTAAATGGACTAATGTCATGGGTCCTCATAAGCCTTATCAGAATTTGAAGAAAAAGGAACAGGGGCATTAACAACTCTTACATCACCTTAAGGATGCTTTTTGAGAAATCAGGAATAAGATTAAGTTGCTTCCCTATGTTGTGTCATTGTTATTATGTTAACTGTTATTACAGATGTTCACACGTCAGTACCAGCACAACAGAAATCCCCAGAGGTCCACGTTGCTGAGGAGCCCAGGCACTAGATCCCCAGGCGAGCCAGGCATCTGTGACCCAGGGCCAGGATGGCCTCAGCCTCAGGTATGTGTGAGTCTTCTTTCCTCGATAAATTGTTTCACTTTTGAAGGAGACAGCAAAGGAACGAATCAGAGTAGACAAGATGCCTTTTCAATTAGTATTCTCTGTCTGGTTGATAGGGATATAACAAAGGAGGACAGGTCTAGCATGGTCCGCCTGAGACCAAGCGGGACTGAGAAGCTTATCATTTTTAAACCTGATAGACTGGTGACGTCTCTGGCTGTCTGTTTGTATAAGTTGGTGTTCTTGTTGCATATGTTTCCGAATGAAGAAGGAAGGAAATTTTGTGCCGGCAGCCTTGAGAAACTGTCAAAAGGAATGGAGGGAATGGCGTGGTGCCTGCATTCCCTGTTTCCTCATAGAGTGGTTTTGAGCCCCTTGGGGAAAGAAGTTAGGGTCAAAACCTGAGGAAGCGTCTTCACATCTGCCTTGGGGGATTTGGGGTCCATGAAGTACTACTTGGAGCCCTGATGACATACTACAGCACAGAACTGGAGGAAGGGCCATCCTCTCACCCAGTCAGCCACAACCCTCTGTGCAGCCCTGCCACCCATAAGGAACTGCTCTGCCCAGGGATGGCATATTCTTATATAGGACACTAGTGGCCAGTGAAAGGTCAAGATAACTTGACTGGGAGCCCAGAGCAGTAGCGCATGGGTGGAACTGCTCCTAAGCCCCTGGGAGACCAGCTGAGGATTTCCTGCCATAAATGAGGGAGGCAGGGTTGGGAGAGATGATTGTTAAAACTTGTGTAGGCAGTGATATTAAGGTGAATTCATTTGTATCCCCAAACCAGCATGACCTGGGACATTCAAATGATATTAGTTTTAAAATGGTATTAAAAAGAAGAGAGCTAGAGAGAAAGAGAATATTTAATGCCTTTGATAAAACTGCAGTGTGAGCCGCAGTATGTTGAACTTTGGTCTAAGAATATTAAATACCTAATATGTGTTTGGCCCCGTACTAAGGTGTATGGTGACATTAACCTCCCAAGTTCCTCTTGCTAAGGAGAATATTCAATAGTGTTATTTCTGTTTATTTGCTTTGAGCTAACACTTATTAAATCATTCGTATATTTGAGGTAAGTACTATTATCATGTGAAGTAAGCACTATTATCATCCTCACTTTATAGATAAAGAAAATGAGAATTACAATGGTTAATTTGTTAAAGGTAACATAGCTAGAAAGAGGCAGAGCCAGGTTTCAAACCCAAACCAATACATGACAATACTCTTGACATACTTTTGCTGCCTCCTGCTATGCAGAAAGCAAGGTGCATGTTTCTCTCCAATACAAAATCTACTTTCTGCATAATTTTTAAAATTTATTTTCAACTCTAGTTCCTATAGGAAATGAGTCATTCCTCACAAAGAGGATTTAAATGACAGTCCTCCCAATGGAAACATTGGGTACCCTTTTCCAGGCTTCTGTGCTCGGAAAAGAGACCCTGATAGAAGAAGCAATCCTTGCAGCGTAGATTTGGCCAATGATTTCTAAATTCTTGCTATAGATTCAGATTGCAGGACCTCTTGGGTGGGACCCTGGAATCTACTTTCTTGTGAAGCACTATGGGTAATTCTAATGTACAACCAAGTTTGACCAGACCATATAGGACAAGAGCAACATGCAGCTCCCAAAACACATCCAGGCTCCTAGACTTAACCCCTTAACCCCATCATTTACTGAGAAGCAAATGGGATACTGGTATTGAAAATCTACTACATGTAATTCACATTTATTATACAACAATGTTTTTATTAAATTGTTTAGAGCCTTTTTTCAGTATTATTTTGATCATTCTGAAAATTCTTCAAAAAGCCTTAAGTTAAAGATTACACTTATTCACAATTACTGTTATATGTGGACACTTGGAACTTAAGATTCTTTTCAATTATTATATGTATTTTATGTTAAAGAAAAAAAAGACTAATTAGGACAACATAAATTTATGTATTAATTTTTGAAGAACTGACGTGTTTATAACAGTGTTATTGAATCCAAGATGATAATAGGCTTCCTCATTTGTTTATATTTTGTCTTGTATTTTTATAGTTTTGTTCATGTATGTTCTTTTCTTACTAAATTTATACTGAATTATTTTCTAGCGTTTGTCTTCTGAATGAAATATTCTTCCCATTTCCTTTTCTAAGTGCCTTTGCCTGAATAGAGAGAGATTGCTGATTTTTGTAATTTATTTTGTATTCATCTAACACACTAAATTCTCTTATTACTTGTTTTTTCATGAAAGTCTCTTAGATTTTCTAAGAAAACAGACATATCATTAGCATTAGGAACTTTCTCTCTTTTTCCTTTATTTATACCAGTTATTTTATTTACATTTGCTAGACTCACCAATAAAAGGGATTATAGTAATGCTTGTCTCATTCCTGATTTTTATTTTTTTATTTTTTCATGAAGAAGACTGGCCCTGAGCTAACATCTGTGCCAATCTTCCTCTGTTTTGTGTGTGGGATGCTGCCACGGCACGGCTTGATGGGTGGTGTGTAGGTCTGCACCCGGGATCCAAACCTGCGAATCCCTGGCCACTGAAGTGGAGTATGTGAACTTAACCACTACACCACTGGGCCAGCCCTGATTCCTGATTTTTAAATGAAAGGTTTTATTTTTGCCATTTAAGATAATGTTTGTTAGTGGCTTTTCTTAATTATTTAAGTGATTTTCTTCTGCTTCTATTTTGCTTTGAGTTTCCCTTGGCATTGGTTGCTTGCCTTTTCACTACCTATTGATGAAGGTTAGGGGTTTTTTCCCTTTAATTTTTAATGTAATCCATATGTGGATAGACTGCGTGGAATTGAGGTGCCCTTTTCTTCCTGTAATAAAACCTGTTTTGTCATGGTGTATTACTCTTTCGATTCATTCCTTTACTCTGTACTGTCATATATTGTTTAAACAGTTGGCATCTATAGTCATCAATGAAATTGGCCAGTGATTGGAATTGTTGCTGTAGTTGTTGAATTCCTTCTTAGGCTTTGGTATTCGAGTTATTCTGGCTTCATAAAATTAACTGGAGAACTTTCAGTCATTTTCTAAGACCCACAATAGTTGAAGTAATATTGGAATTATCCATTCTTTAATGGTTAGATTAAAAATTCAGCTGTGAATTCATCTGCCTGCTGCCTTCTTCAATAGGAGATCATTAATCACTTCTCCAATCTGTTCCATAGTAATTGGTCTATTCAAGTTTTCACTTCTTCTGTGTCATTTGTGATTACGTATATTTTCCTAGGGAAGTATTTATTTCTTCTAGGTTTTACTTCTTTTAATGTACTGCTACAGAGCGACCATTAGTATTTACTTAGAATTCTTTTCATCTCTTTCCTATTTTCACATTGTTAATCTTGTCTAATTTTGATTTCCTTCTCTTTTTCTTATCTGGCTCACTTGGTGTTTATTTTACTGGTCTTTGTAAAGAATCAATCTTTGAATGTATTATTCTTTTCTGTTAATTTATCAATATTAATAATTTCAGCTTTTATCCTTATTAATTCCCTCTTCAAAGTTTCTTTTGTTTTGTTTTTCTTGTTGTTCTTACTTGAATTCATAAAGATAAGTACGTAATTCCCCTATTTTCCCCCTTCTCCTTCTATGATTAAAGGCAACCGTTTTCCTCTGAGCTCAGTTTTACGGTTCCCCATTGTTTTAATATAAAGTGTCTTTTTTTTCCAATGCTTCTGGGAATTTCAGTATTTCTCCTTGCTGTGGTCTGAATGTGTGCATTCCCCTCAAATTCATGTGTTGAAATCCTAAGCCCCAAAAATGATGGAATTAGGAGGTGGGGCCTTTGGGAGGTGCTTAAGTTTTGAGGGTGGAGCACTCATGAATGGGATTAGTGCCTTTATTAAAAAAAAAAAAAACTCCAGAAAGATCCCTAGCCTCTTCCACCATTTGAGGACATGGTGAAAACGCACCAGCTATGAACCAGGAGGAAGACTCTTTCCAGGAGACCACCATACTGGCACCTTGATCTTGGACTTCCAGCCTCCAAAACGGTGAGAAATAAATTTTTGTTGTTTATAAGCTACCCAGTGTGCGATATTTTGTTATAACAGCCAAAAGGACTCAGACATTCCTTTAATTTCCTCTTTCATACAAGACTTATTGCATGTTTCTTAATTGCCGATTAAGTTTATTGGACTGTGATGAGAAAATGTAATCTATAAGCTCTCTACTTCTTTGAATTTGTTAAGGTTTTCTTTTTGGTTAAGCACACGATTCATTTTTGTAAAAGTTCTATGGAAATATTTGTATATATTCTATTCGTGGAATAAAATGTTGTTTACTATGTAGCATGTTAAATCAAGTTTATAAATTTTATTTTTCATTTCCTCTATGTCCTCTCTATAGCTTTTTTTTTTTTTTTTTTTTTGTCTATTAAATTATTTCAGTTCTGGGAGAGATATACTGAAAAATCCAGTACAATTGTATTTTTATCATGTTATTTCATTTCTCTTTTTTAAAGTGAAATAAAATATCCCCTTCCAGTCCTAAAAGCTTTGTTTGTATACTTCGTTTCTTATTTTGTTTGCTAAAAACAGTGCATTTAATCAATTCATAATGTCTTCCCTTATCCTATTTAGTGTTTTTAACTTTCTATTTCACATTGCCTGCTATTAATATTGCCTCTCTTGATGTCTTTCTGTGTATGTCCATTGTTTTATTTGGTCTGATTTTGCTTTTTTGGTCCTTCTTTTGTTTTCAAACCTCTTTTATTACTGTATTTTAAGTATGTATTTTGCAAAGTGCGAAATATGCTCTTTTTTTAACTGAATGTGACAGTCTTTTTTAATAAGAGAACTTCAGTCCAATTACATTTTGTGTAATGCCTGATATGCTTGACTTTATCTTTTGCATCTTATTTGTTGCTTATTCGTCTTACCATGTTGTTTGCCCTTTTAGCTCTTTCTTCTGCTTGCCTGTCTGATCACGTCTCATTCATCTCCTTTTCCCTTTGTTTTTCTGCAGGTTCCATAGGGAGTATTTTTTCTTTTCATAAATGGTTATCTTCCCTTCCCTTGCTCTCATAATCAGATAGTATTACTGGACTATCATATGAAAGCAAGATATTAATTATTTTCCTTACCAAGATCCTAGATTTCCCCCTTTTCCTCCTCCATTTGATAAGTCTTTTAGAGAACTTTCGTTTTCTTCCTTGTTCAGCATTCTTTCTTTCCTATCCTCCAGTTCTACTCCCCTCTTCCTCTTTTTCCATCTTGGGATTTCTATTCTGGTCTATGTCTTGTTTGGCTACAGCCTTTTCTTGTGGGTTTCCCTCTGAAGAAGTACACAAGTAGTAAACTCTTTGTTGTATATCTCCACTCTTTCTTTCACGCTGTCGGGTGAATGATATCTTGTGTTGAATTCATTGGTAGTGGTCCTATTCTGAGGGTAATCTGTAGATGCTCGTTCATTCTTGTTTCCAGTTTCCATTGTTGCAAATAAGCCTAATGCAACTCTGATACTTTTTCCTTTGTAGATAATTTGTTCATAACTGCTTGGAAACTTGTGAGGTTTTTTTCTTATATCCTTAGCATTCAGGAATTTTATCAGACTTAGGTCTTAAACTAGGGAAATTTTTTTCTGATTATTTTTAATTATTGCCTTACCTCCATTTGTTCTTTCTTCTCCCTTTGAAATTCCCTTGGATCTGATTTCCATTTCCTTTTGAGGTTCGCTTTGTTTTGGCTTGTGCTTTGAGATATTTCTTAGCACTTAATTTTTCAGACCACTGATTCAGATTTCAATAGAGACTATCCTCTCCTTCAGTTCTTCTCCTGAATTTTTTATTTTGGAAACTGTGCTTTCAATTCCAGAAAGAATTTTTTATCATGGTCTTGACTCTTAATTCAAGATGTCACTCTTGCCTCCAGCAGCACTCCATCAGTGGGATGTTTGTTCTGATGACTGCTCTTCTCTCAGCTATTGGATGGGTTCTTTTTCTATATGAACTCGTTGGAGCTCAGATGCTAAATGACGGGAATCTCATAGACCATGACTCTCTCTGCCTACAGGGGCCTGTAATTTACAGCAGGAAGCTGCCAGACCCTGCTGCTGGTCTTGAAGGAAACTCCCCTGCTCTCAAGTTTCCTGGTACTCCCACAGTCTGAGGAACAGGGAGATCCAGTCTTCCTGCACAGCTCTTTCTTGGCCTTGTAAGGGCAGGAAGATCTGAGCCAACATCGTCTTATGTCTGGAGATCACAGATCTCTGACCTCCCAGCATTTCCCAACAAACGCTGCTTTTAGTCCTCACTAGCTCCCTGATGATGGTTTTTCCCACTCCATGAGGGGAAAAGCAGTGGACTATTTCTCTCTACTAGAACGCCAACAGACCCTGAGCCCTCACGTCTATTCAACTACCCATGGAAGCCAGCAGTCATTAGGCTGTTGAGAGGCAGGTAGCCTAGAGCTGAGGATGAAGAGAAAGGGAGCTGTTGTCATGTCAACATGTGACCAGAATCTCCTTTAGGCTAACTGTGTTCTATAACTCAAATTAACTTTTGTTTAAGTCTCTCACTCCATCAGGTAGTAGAGATTTAATCTCAGTCCATTCAAGATCTTCCCTCATTTTTCCTGGAACCAGATCATGGTTCTAGAGTACTTACTTAGTGCTGAGATGTTGGGACAAGAGAAGTAGGCATCTGATCTGAGTCATCTATCCGTTTTGCAGGCTCCATCTGCATAGAGTCAGACTGTCTGTGTTAGCTATTATTACATGTTCTAACACCTATATTCATGTTATAAAAATGTTACATAAAAGACAATGAGGCTAGGGTTCCTGGCTGAGCCCAGGTAGTCCGTGCTTTGAAGCTCAGTTAGGGCTTGTCTGCCAAAATGACAATAACATCTGCCGAGAATATATCTGAATTAGGGACTGAGGAGTTCCCTGGTGAAAAAGGATTCATCCTAAGGCAAAGCAAAGTCAGGCACACGAGTCTATTTCAGTAACCATGTGTCAGAATTTGAGCACAGCTTGATATCTTTTGCTCACATTGTACTCCAGCTTCAAGTCCCAGGTTCTCAGGTTCAAGTCCCAGGAAGGTGAGAGGTCAAGAAAAACTAAAACTTGTTTTACTGGGAACTCAGTAGAACACTGACAGTACAAAACAGTAATATTTGGGACTTGCATGGCAAAGATGGGTGAGAGTCTTTTTGTTTAATTTGGGGGTTGATGCTGCTTGTGTGTGTTCCTAATTTCAGCTGGGTCCACTTTGAGGACAGTAACTTATCAAAGGTATCAGCAAAACCAGCAAACTGGGGAGAAACAGCACCAAAGACAGCAACAGACTCTGATATTTTGGGAGCTCAAGCAGAGGGGAAGGAAAATGGCAAATGCTCTGTGACATCCTAAGTTCTCAAGCAACTCTCCACCAGCCCCATTTCTCTCCCTGAAAGAACTGAGGAACACACTGAGTGGAACTCAAGTTACCTCATGAGGTGGGAAAATAACCCAGAAAAGTTGGAGGAAGAAAGAAAGTCGGAATGCTAATTGTTGTAGTTACCGTCCCTTCACTTTTACCCACAGCTGCTGAGGTTTGAGGAAACACAATTTTATAATCAAAGTTTGATGGAAAAGGAAACTGAGTCACATTACCATTTGCAGAGTCACGTAAGAAATCAAAGACTGGTGCAAGGATGAAGTCTAGTTCATCTAGTTTATAATCCATAATGTCATCCCTTTGTCACATAGGGAAGTAATGATTCAAAGTAAATCACCAACAAAAATTAAAACCCTCAAATATTTGTCCTATTGATTATGGCTGTATGACTTTATAATTGGATTTGAGGGACTATGGATTTCTCCAGGCCCTCAAGCAAAGAGAGTGACCTTCAGTCTCGTGCATGGTTCCATACAAGAGTGAAATGTTTTGAAAAGGAACATGGCCCTTCCTATCCAAGGCAACCCCCCTCCTTCACTCTCTCAAGGATGTGGCTTAAGGTTTTCTGTTTGCTGCTCCCAATGGCAGACATCTTTCTTCTTATGATTGCAATTGCATGTCTGGTTATTTTAAGAGTGAGACTATAACATTTCTGGTTGATAATTATAGTAAATCAATGTGTTAATAACAGGATTTCAGTGTATCAAGTTCATCTGTAGAAAAAATTGTAAACAATTCAACCTAAATCACCTAGAGAGGATATGAGCCTGGCAGATTATTGTGGTCGGAGAGCTAATAATAACAGTTATTTTTTATTGACCTTTCAGCACTTAATCTTCATTTAAACCCTATGAGGAAACGATATTATTCCCATCTTATAGGTGAAGAAACTGAAATTTTAAAGGTATTACATAACTTCTCATCCTTACTGCTCCACTCTACTGCCTCATCAAGGAAGAGAAGTTAGCATATTCCATCCCATTTATGTGACCCAAGTACCCCAGGCATAAAATATTTTATCACCAGGCCAATTCCTTAGGAAAATGCATTCCATTTGCCAAGCGTATAATACAAAATTAAACTTGCAAACCTTTTGATCCACTCTCAGATTCCAACAAGAGTAATTCCCTTACAAGTACAAGGAGTGAAAATGTGACTCACAATAAATAATTCTATCAAATGTACTTCTGTACTGCCTCTGACCTTGCCCTTTTGCCTTAAGTCACTGCCAAGACTAATAGATCCCATGACACTCTCAAGATATAGAAAGTAATTATTGAAATTCATCTGGTTATACAAAGATAAAAAGTATTTCATTGCTAGACAGAGCATTTATTTTCCAAAGGCTATTCTGTCTTTTTTCCTTAAAGTATCATATAATAGTCTTCATGATAATTTTGCATTTTCAGTGAGTAAAAATTTTATGTACTCATTATTATCTAAATATTCAAGAATAAAACTGAGAACATGGAAGCAAGCAGAGAGTCAAATAAATCACAAAATTAATAATTTAGTTCGAAAAACATTCCTTATTTTGTCATGTTTGCCCATAATTCCATCAAGAATATTGCCTTGTTAACAAATACCCTATAAATATTTGTTGAATAAAAAATTGAATGAAATCTTGATTATAACAGATCAAAATCAGCAAGTCAGCAACCTCTATAGGTATAGTGGAAAATTGTTTTTCTTGTGCTACCCAGAATCCATTCATCCTATTCTAGCAATATAATACCTATTTTGATGCATTCCTGTCTTCCGTTTGTACAACCATGGTGTCTTCCTAAAACCAAGAGATAATCGCGAGGATTTAACTGATCAATCAGAAATTCTCCCAAGACTTTGAATCTTGAGAACCTAAGACGGTTGGAATTCATTCCTTCCAGTAAAGGTACCCTGACAAGGTAGTTAAGCAGTCCTTGTTACCTGGACCCTTGGAATTACCCTGATTCTTGTCTAATTTGAGCTTGGTTCTTTCTCTTACCTGTGGGTTGTGTTAATTCCCCAGTATCAATATAGTAGGATGTCTTTTCTGCTTAAATTATCCAGAATTAATTTCTATTACTTAAAACTGAAGAACACAATACTCCAGCTTCCGCTTAGGATATACAAAGTTGTAAGATTATTACACTAAACCTAAAAACAAGAAAAAAGGTAGTTAATCTACAAAAGCATAACTTTCCTTGAGCATTTCAGAGAGCTGAGATCACAAGGCAGCTGAGTAACCTGAATTCCAATGGGAAACAAGCTCCTTAAAGGAGCGGTGGAGAACATGAACTTTTCGACCTGTGCGAGATTAGTGGAAAAACTGGTGACCACCATACAAACAGGTAAGAAACAAACCCTAAAATTAAAGGCATATGTGAGCTGATGCATCAGTTTGGGATAGCTGAACGTCCCAGAAGCAGGGGGGGATTGTACTCACCCTCAAGCTTTTTCCCACAGGCTTCCAGAGGATCCTCACAAAAAGACTGGAGACAGGGTAAGAGATGTGAGAGAGCCACCTCACTAATGCAGGTATGAGGAAGCAATGGGCGGCTGTTAGGGGTTGGGCACAGGCCTTACTTACTTCTTTGCGTTCTTCTCTCTCATGAAGCAAAAGCCTTAAATCACTGAGGGGAGGGGCAGCAAACCTCTTACCAAAGACCCATCGCATCTAAGGGGAGTAGAAGCAAAATCCACCTGCTTCTGGAGGAGAGGCAAGAAACCATCTTGGATCTTGAATCTTACCAATCAGAGTTCTGCTCCCACTGGTGGAGAGGCAAGAAACTCCTGCACAAGACCAACCTCAGAAACAAGACAGAGTTTGGTTGCCATTGTCAGGATGTGTAGACATATTGAGGAAGCTCCACCTCCAAGACTGTATAGGGCCTGACAAAGAATCAGGCTGGAACAGGACAGCAGAGAATTCCCCCTGCAACAGCATTCTACAGATGGATGAGGAGCAAGAGTGTGGGCAGAGACCGAATGCTGGAGGAGGAGCAGAAACCATCAGAGAAACCCTCCAGCACTCTGTCTCCCATCCCAAGCACCAGGGATTAGTAGCCCAACTGGTAAAAGAATTTGAAGCCTGTGGTACACAAAAAGCAACAAAAGCAAAAACAATACCCAAATAGTCAGCTCAACTCCTGGCTGTATTGACTCAACCCCACACTAGTGGTCTGACAGAAGAAGAAGTATTCCCATATCTAGGAGTTAATACTGTATACCTTAGTCTCTACTGTCCTACATATGATGTGTAGCAGTCGATAAAAAATTACCAGACTAGGGTATGGCTTGGTGGCTTACTGGTTAAGTTCGTGGGCTCCACTTCAGTGGCCTGGGGTTTGCAGGGTCAGATCCCACCGTTCATCAAGCCATGCTGTGGCAGGTGTCCCACATATAAAATAGAGGAAGATTGACACAGATGTTAGCGCAGGGTGAATCTTCCTCAAGCAAAAAGAGGAAGATTAATAGTAGATGTTAGCTCAGGGCCAATCTTCCTCACACACACACAAAATTACCAGACTAAAAAGCGAGAGAAAACAACCTACTGAGAGGAGATAAAACAATCAATAGAAATAGACTCAGAGATGGCCTAGATGTTGCAACTATCAGACAGAATCTTTAAAATAGTTATGATTAATATGTTAAAGGATCAAATGTAAAAGTTGGGGAACATGCAAAAACCAATGAGGAAATTCAGCAGAAACAGAGATCAAGAGCTTCCTAAGTTTTTGAGGAAACTATATTGCCAAAGAGACTATGAACTCTGACTAAAACAGCATTTAACTATTAGAGATTTAAAACAAACTACAGACTCCCAAACTTTTAACAGAAAAAAAAAGCTGTGAAAATTGGGCAGCACTGTCCAGAAGGATTTGCTTATGGATTGGATGTAGGATATGAGAGAGATAGAGGGGTCAAGAAAGCCTTACTCATCCTGTCTAATTGGAAATGTGGAATGGAGATGCATTAACTGGTCTGTAGAAACACACATCCAAGTGGAACAGTCAAGTAGAAAGTTGGGTGTGTGAGTTTGGAATTTGGGAGAGATATCTAGTCTTAAAATATAAAATTGGGAGTTAAAAATACATAGATAAGATCTAAAGCCATGAGTCTAGCTGAGAATACTAAGAAAGTAGATATTCCTTGAAACAGACAGGGCCCAAGGACAGAGCCCTAAGGCATTCCAAACTTAAGAGGTCAAGAAGAGAAGGGCCCAAGAAAGGAGACTGATCCATTATCCCTAGACATGTATGAGTGGTTGTATAATCCTGACAGACTGACACTCATCACTGAGCCATCTTTGACTGATCATCCTAAAGACTTGGAAATATGCTTTTTTTTTTTTTTAAAATTAACAGTCATGATATTCTTTTACTTATACCAGGTTTTTTAGCTATATTTTTTTTCTTTTGCCAAAGCTAAACAAGTTAATATGAAAAAATGTTATTTTCTGTTCACACGGTATTTTTTTTTTTTTTAAGATTTTATTTTTTCCTTTTTCTCCCCAAAGGCCCCCCGGTACATAGTTGTATATTCTTCGTTGTGGGTCCTTCTAGTTGTGGTATGTGGGACGCCGCCTCAGCGTGGTTTGATGAGCAGTGTCATGTCCGCGCCCCGAATTCAAACCAATGAAACACTGGGCCGCCTGCAGCAGAGCGCATGAACTTAACCACTCGGCCACGGGTCCAGCCCCCAGTTCACACAGTATTTTTAAAAAGTACATAGTAGTTAGTTTGAAACAATTTGCATTCAGCCAGAGTCTAACCATTATATAAATCTGTGAATGTAACAAATGAGATAAGAAAAGTAAAAATAAGAATTTTTGAAGTATTTACACTTATACAGGAACTACTCCAAATGGCACTAAAGAAAGTAAATTTGCAGTTAAAATTAAACTATGGCTTCTCCATAATGATGAGAAATTTAATTTTTTGAGAGTTTTGCATAATTTTCAATATGAATTTTGCCGATATTTTTTTCAGAGCTAGTTGTGAAGTATGACTTATTTCTGTGTAATAACTGTTTTACAGCTTCTGTATTTTGATACTTCAACATCTGGGGCCTTGCTGAACCTGGAGGGACTGCCCCTCCAAGAGATAGCTAATTCCTAGAGAGAGCCAGCAACTTACCTGCCAGCATGTCTTTAATAGACAAACCAACCAATCCAGAGCTCACACTCCTAACCAGTTCCTCTAATGGGCTCTCACACTCAAGACCACTATTCCCCTGCTCTCATCACCCCAGGGCCAGGTACCAGACAACTAGCCCCTCCCCCACAGCCTGCTGAAATTATTCAAACTAGCCAATCCTAAACCCACTCATCCTGGCTCACCTGTTTCTTCCCTCAGAAACCACAATAAAGGTTCTTGCCCACATTTTCCCCTCTTCCTTGGCCTCCTGATGAACCGTGTGTTCCCTTTGTGGCCCTGCAGAGTGTGCTGTGTCTTCTCTCTCTAGGGATCTGTAAGTATAAAACTTCCTAACAACCATTTCTGTATCTGCGTCTTACCATACATGATTAAAACAAATCCCTGGAGCCTGATTAAAACATTCTGCATTTCACCTCACGGTAGGAGCTTTACTATAACAATACCAAAAAACAAAAACCAAACCAAACCAAACAAAATGAAAAACTAGCTCAGAAAAGGCGTAATCCTTCCAATTCTAGTTTTCCTCAATGTCTGGCTGGCTTCTTGTTTTGGTGAACAAATGAAACATCATCATCTCGTTTTGCTGCGGGGAGTGTTGACTAGGAGAATAAAGCTTTCCATCTTCCTCATGTGGCATAACTTGAAGACCTCAAGAAACAAGGTTTCAGTAGATAGAAGGTTTTGACATTTTTCTCTTTTCCTTAGAGCAATTTTTTTATTTATCTCTGAAATGATTCAGATCTTGTTCCAGTTCTACTGGATTTTCCAGTTTTCTCTTCTGATAATTCTGTGCTACCACTTTATTTTTGCCCCTCCTATGTATGTCTCAAATTAATGCAAGTTGAGTCTTAATGAATTGCTCTTTGACATCCTTCTACTGCAGTTGTTAGTAAGGAGATAAATGATTTTTTTCTACAGGGAACGGGATATGGAGAGCTTTCACCCTTAGCTCATCTCTTGTGAATTGAGATTACAGTCAGCTTGAATGTTTATCTTTTGTGAGTGGCTTTTTTATGATGACAGGACTTACAGGCAATTCTCTTTTTCATGTATTTACAGTCTGGCATCACTCATTGGAGCACTTTGCCCCAAGATGATGAGCGGAGATGCCCTAAGTCCACAGAGATTTGACTGCTATGTCTGAGGACCACTTTGGTGTGTCTTTCCAGGGTCTCTGTCTGTATCTTCCATTTCAGAGTCTCTGAAGCCATGTGGTGCATCTCCATAGATGGAAGATTCCTTGAGCACTCTTGCAATGCCATGCCACGCTCTGGCTTGTGTTCCATGAAATGCCAGAAGTCAGAATCATCAAATTGTGCCAGTTTTCAGAGTGGTTTTCGTTGAAAGTTTTGTAAAAGAGTAAGTTAGAGATAGAAATATTAATAATGGTATCAATGTCATTATCATTTAGAAGTTCAGAAAGAGATTGGCTGAAAATAGCCAAGGAGGGGATGCTATTGTTCAGCATGGGCTGAATAAAGAATAAAATTCATCACCACATTAGTTTATATTTTATTATCGGTTTTTATAATAAATTCAAATTTATTATTATTTTAATTTAAATAATTCTCTGTCAGTGGTTAGGTCTTCTGTGGAGAGGATGCTACCAAAGGAATCCTCAAAACATTGAGAAAATTTAGATTACAGTTACCTACTTCTTTTTCTAATGAAGAGACCAATGTCTGTAACTATTGTCTATTTCTAACCAGTTTAGATTTAGAACTAGATGCTTGGCTGGTGTCAACCACCTTGTCATTTTGAATGTTAATGTGCTAATTCTGGGGTGGACCATAGGTGCTCCCAAACCTAGTCCTATTCTGCTGTATGAGTATTATTATCATATCATATCATATATCGTGTATCGTATTATATCATATTATGCTGTATGAGCCAAGGCTGGTAGAAAGACAGAAGTGTCAGGCAACTGAGGCTGATTCAGAGTAATGAAGATTAGGCAGTCAAGAAGGCTAGAAATGCCATAAAGAGGGGATAGAAATATAGCTGCCAACACCTCACTGTCTTACGAACTGGAATGTCTGCCTACAGAGACATGGGAGCAGCTGGGACAGTGTGCTGCTGGTTGACTTGGGTAGAATACAACCTTCTCTTATCTAGTTGTAACTGAGCCCAAAAGTCTTTCTCTTGCCCCTCTTGGGGTTGTTTTTGTCATTCCTTTTGAAACGTTTGGTTTTGCCAATCTGTATTCCTTGATCACTGTCTGAAATTAAACATGTCATGACTTACCATAGGTTTATATTTTCAATACAAAGTGTGTCAATCAATGTTGTCCCCACATCTCGTTGGGACAGCAATTGGGTGGCCTGCATGTCCAAATCCATCAGGCTGGGCTCTGGGGCATATACTGGAGCTCCCCAAGAG